CTAGTATTCCTCATGTCTGCATAGCCCTCTGCCCAGGACACCTATCAGTATAGATGTCACGTCTACTAGCTCCATTTTGTGCAGCAGTGAAACTCTGGGAGGGCTTTATGCTTACATGTAGCAACACGCTGCTTTCTTCCCCACCATTTCCTCTGCCATCCCCAAGACTCCCACTAACAGACATAAAATAAACCAGCTTGTCCATCAGTTCTGAGGAAGAAAATTCAGCTTTTTTTTATTGTGACAGCTTTTTTTTTTTAATCAGCTTTTTTTATTATTTTCTTTTTGGGACAGAGCCCCGGAACGGACTGCCCAGAGAGGTTGTGGAGTCTCCTCTGAAGATCTTCCAAACCGGCCTGGATGCCACCCTGTGCCACGTGCTCCCTGCTGGAGTAGGGGGGTTGGACTAGATGGCCTTTAGGGGTCCCTTCCAACCTCAACTGTTCTGTGATTCTGTTATGCAACTGAGAAGCTTTGAGGTCCCCTGAATACCATGGAAGACAGGTTTGTGTTTGTCGAGCCCCATGAGATAAGTGAGAGCTATCAAAAGTAACTGCCCTCAAAATCAATAGAGATTTGCCTATTTACAACAGCTGGTCTCCTGCCACTGTGATATTTCTCTCTCTGATGATTGCTCCATTGTATACAAACTCTGTTGAATTTTTATTGCTTCCCAGGCATGTGAAATCCCCCCTCCGCCCCATCCATTCCACAGGACAAGGAGCACCGTGTCTCCTTGGCATGGACAGCGGCCAATGTTGACTTAAGAGCAAGGCGAGCCAGGCGGGCGAGATAAATGCGGCTGTGAGATAGGGCCCTGCAGTGCCACGCGTCCCTCAGGGTGCACCGTGAGCTTGTCTCACCTGGGCCACCAGCAGCGCTGCGGGAGGCCGGCCCGGGATGCCCCGCACCTCGGGCTTGCATCATCCTGCCGGTGGGCAGGGACGGGGCGGGAGGTGGGTGACAGATGTGTCCCGGAGCAGGGCTGTGGGAGCGCTCCGCCGTGCCGGAGGGAGGCCACGGGACGGCGGGCAGCGAAGCAGGACACCGCTGAGGTACCGGGCGCTCCCGCCGCGCAGCCCCAGCAGCCTGGGTGGACTAGGCCGTGACCCTCGTCAGGGTCCTGTGGGGACAGGTCAATGTCCTTCCAGGGGGCTCAGGAGACTCATGGTGTTTTACAGCTTCTGGGAAGGGGATTACCGGGTTGAGCTGCTTATTAGAGGTGTCAGTGTTGCAAGTGTTTGTAAATGTTAATTTTCATGCTTGCAGTGCCTCAGGATGATGGGATGAAGGCAGCTGCTCCCTGCAGAGGGGTGCATTCTCCATTTGGGTGGACTAGAGACACTGGTTTTGTTTGCTTATTGGGCAGGAATTTGATGCATTTCAAGATTAGGTGACTGTCTTTTTGCTCTTCAGTGCTGTGGTGTTAAGAGGGAAGTGTGTGGGTGAGTGTAAATCAGGTCTGTGCACTGAGAGCTGCCTGTTTACACCAGGGGATTTAGGTTTCCAGATATTTAATTTCTAGTAACTGCACTTCATCTTATTGAAACGGTTCAGTCTTGAAAAGCCTCTTGTGAATAACGAGACTATGGGGAAGTGCTGCTCCTAGAGAGCCTCGGACCTGATAGTGGAGGTGGACAGAGGCCTCACTTTAGCAGTGCAGTTAATTAGCAAGTCAGTGGCCAGCATTTATTTAAAAGAAAAAAAAAAACACTGTAAGAAAATAACTTTGCAATAAGTGAGATACTGAGAGAGATGAGAATAAAACCGAATGAAAGGTTTTGGTGCTTCCCTTAAAACAAGGAGCAAATGAAGCTCACATCACTTTGGAAAGTCACACATGATATTTCACGGGTGCAGGAAAACAGATGGTGGGGAGGGAGGTTGTGAGGCTGGAGATGGTTCTGGTTTGAAGACCACAGGGACTGCCTGGGGAAAAGCTTGTGCCTTATAGCTAACTTTGTCACTGCTGTGCGATGCTGGCAGGAGCGCTGGCACACAACTGTCCCCAAGCTGTCAGAACAGGGGAGCAGCGGGGCAGCACGACCCACATGCCAGCCTGGGACAGCCCTGGTTCAGAGGCCTGGGTTGGTGCAGGAGGTTGCCCACTGCACGTCAAGCAGGTTGGGTCTGCCAAGCTTGTCTTCATACCATGTTGTCACCCTCAGAGCTGAGGACCCCATCCCATGTTGAAAGGTATGAAAAAGCTGCAGGTGAGAGTAATGCAAGGACCTTTCTAGCCAAGTCAGAGCATTGCAGAAACAAGACAGGCTGGCAGGAATTTTTCCCCCTCTCACTGAGCTGCAAGGTTTAAGAGAAAGGTCCTGTAGAGCAGGGAACCAGTCTGGATCTTCTGAGAGCACGGCAAAATGCTGGTGGCTCATGCTGCCACTGGCTTTGTTTTTGCAAGAGTGAGAATAACATCCCCATCATGCTGAGGCAGCACCAAGAACTGCACATCCCAGAGAGCCATTGTGCTCAAGTCAATGGCTGAGAGCCAACTAAAGACCTTTGAGGCAGGAAATTTGCCCTGCGTGGGTTGCTAGTTCTCCAGGAGAGCCAGACACTTTCCTCCTGTGAGTTAGATTTTGTCTTGAGTCATGGGCTGGGGGAAATGCTGGTGACAGAACTCTTGAAGGCCCCTGGGGAGGCTGTGAGTGTTAGCCCTTGTCAGGCTTCTTGGATGGATTAGGATGTTTGAGCTCTGGGGGCTGGTGCCAGGGTCTAGATAATTCTGTATGTGCCCTAAATCTTCTCCTCTTTCTCTTAGCCTGCAGCTACAGACCTTTGTGGCTTATTTTCTCATAGTCCCCAGTGTAAACCTCACTATGCCAGACAGAGAGGCAGGCAAACATCTCACAAGAAAAGCTTTTGTAGCTTCCAGCTAGCTCTGCTAGCTCACTTTGGGAGAATGCCTGCTCTTCTACTGTGTCTTCTCCCTCTGCAGTATCACCTCCATAGGAGTGCTCCTGAAATGCCTCCAGCCACAGTCATGGTGGTCTTGGTACCACTGCAGGTGGGGAGACTGAGGCAGAGAACTGAAGCTCTCTTGGAGGGACTTGCACAGCTCTGTGGGCACTGCGTGGAGGAGAAAAGTAGCTGTTAGCCAACAGAGGAAGAGATATCTCCAGAGGGTGATGAGGTCCAGCCACGATCTAGAGATGCTTGTCTTGGAGTATGTGGGTTATAACCAGCAGTGCGAGTGCTGAAGGGAATGTCCTGAATGTCTCCCATCACTTCCAAACAAGGCCGAAGGGCAGAGGGACATGGAGGGACAGGTCCTGCTGGGGTCAGTGTTAGGAGGTGGAGAAGAGCAGGGCGTTCCTGCAGAGCAGGGAACAGTCCCGCTGTGCCACGTGGCTGCCAGCGCTTCCAGGAGAGGCAGCTGGAGTTACCTGTTTGCTGCTGTGCAAAGTGCAGGGAGAGGCCCCTTCCTACCTGCCCTGCTGCTGCCCAGAAACCTCTTTACTCCCTCCCTGCTGATGCCAGTGATGCAGAACCTGCTGTTAAATCTCAGCTGTCTCTTCTGCTGTTCCAGTCTGTGAGATCCTTGGCTTAGGGATCTGCATGTGGGTCCTGCACCCCATGGTGGGCTCTGCTTTCCAGCTGGTGCCCTGGGCCAGGCACAGCAGTGGTGCCTGTGTCCCCTGGGGTCTTCTCACCTTGACTGCTGCCCAGGGCTCAGTTTGTCCTTCAACATTTGGTTATTATTATTATTTATTTTTAAGCGCAGTTATACTTCAATACCAAAGTCCAAGATGCTTTTAAAGAGCAGTTGTCTGCAAATTCCAGACCTGGGGGAATACTTCTATTCCCATGAGGTGGAAGGACCCCTCTGAGTGGGACTAGAGCATCCTGCCTGGTGTGGGCATTGGAACAAGGGCTGCTGACAGTCCCTTCCAGCCCTCAGTTTCCTGATTTGCCTCAGCGAGGTATTTTGTGCTCAGCAAAGAGCTTTCACGATTGTGCTAGTCTCAGATCTTTTGTCCTGGCTCTTACCATGAAGAGAAAGACTACACAAGCATGTCATGGCCATGCCGGCCATGTGCTTTTGATTTATTTGCTTGTCTTTCCACTGAAAGCCCACTAGAGGTTTTCAGGGTTTGTCCCTGCATGTGTTCAGGCTAGAAGCAGGTTTACTGTCTAGTGAAAACTGAGATTTTCACTGAATCACAGGCCTCTGTCACCAAGCGCCTTAAGGTGAACACAGGTAGACCAAAACTTGGAAAAGCAAAGTTCGCTATAATAGGAATTGAAATATTCTTATTACTAGCTGCCCACATTATGATAACACCAAAGAGACCAAGATTAGTAGACTAGCAGCAGCTTGCACTAGGTGCTAATCAAACACAGAACAAAATGTTTGTTTATTCCTCCAAGAGCTGCCAGTCCAAATGGACTGTGAGCATTTATTTCCACCAAGTATACAAGGGCCCCTCCGCTCAGCTGGTCACGGTCAGCAGATCCTGCACAAATAATGGAGAACTTACACAGGCATGGCCTAAAAGCCCACACTCGGAAGAAAGAATGACTCCTCTCTTTCTTAACTCAGTTCCTCTTAGGAGGAACTTTCTCTTCTAGGACACTATGGAGGAAAGTGATGGGGAACACAGTGGGGAACAAGATGACCTGACATTTATTGCTTTGCCATCCCAGTGTCCTGGACGGGTAAAAGGGAAGCAGAAGGGACCCTGGTCAGCAGAGAAAGAAGCCCCTGAGAGAGCTGCTCACACTCCAGGGCTGCAGGGAAGCTCTTGCTCATGGGCTGCAGTTCCAAAGCTACGTCGGTGTCCTTCCTGGGCAGCTATGAGCCACATTCCTGCCTGGCTCCCGCTGCCCACTCACACCTTCTGCATCCTGTTAATTATTACAAGGGAGCTGAAGGAGGCCAATGTGCACCAAAGTCCAGCGCAAAAGGGAGAACAGGCACTTTGCTCGCAGCCATGAGCCAGCCCACCTCGGCCACCACGGAGCTGCCCGCGCTGCCAGAGGGGACGAGTGCACCCTTCGGGGTAGCCGACATTGTCGTCGTCATTGTTTACTTCGCCTTTGTCCTCGCCGTCGGGATCTGGGTGAGTCCCCAAGGTGACCTGTGTCCTTCTCGCAGTTTACTTCACCTTTGTCTGTCAGGATACGGGGCAGTCTCCAAGGGTTTAGCCCTGCCTAAGGGAGAGCACGTGACCCGCACCGGCCCCTCCTGCGAGCAAAGGTATCTGCCTTCCAAGCGCCTGTGTTATTCCTACAGAACAGGTTTTGGAGGTGACAGGAATCTTCCTTTGAGCGCTCACCCTGACCTCGTTTCCCCACATGGGGACAGCTACATATTCATTTCTTGCATTCCCCAAATGCTCTTCTGAGGTTTGGCTCCATCTCCAGTGTGGCAGCGTAGTCTCAGACCACACCGATGGCAGGGATCAAGGGCAAGAAGGAAGATGGGGTGGCAAGGAGGCAGACTGAAATGAAACCTTAAAAGACTTTTATTTATTATTTGTTCTCCTTGCCTCATGAAGGCCTCTCTCATAGATATCTATAGTATTTTGCTGGTCTGGTTCAGTGGTCGACTGAAGTGTTTTTCTCATTCCTAAGGGGAAGGAAAAGTAGTTAAATAAGCTCAAACAACCTTCCTCCAAGGCTGGACCACCTGAACTCCAAATGAAGAGAAGCAGAAGCAGCATATAACCTAGCACATCTAATAGATGCACTGAACAACTTCTAGAGCTGATGCTGAGACCAAACACTCAGGTTTTTTCTGACCTGGTAGTATTGCTGCTAACCAGTCTGGGTACTGCCTGACAGATTGGTGTTTTGCAGCAAACCAGTCTATTACGGTGCCCAACTGCAAAAGCCAAGTGGCACAGACAGCCTCAGTGACACTGGGATTGCTTGCTAGCCTATGGCTCTTGAAATCCCCATGGTTCCCATGCGGCCCCTAATCGCAGCTGAGTATCGGAGCCACCCCACTGCAGGGCTCTTGGATCACTTGGATCCCCAGCAGTGGATGTTCATTAGGCCAAGGGCTGCTGAAATGGGCTGTGCTAGTTGTCCTTGTGTACAGCTGCATGGCATGCCCAAATTCATTCCTCGTCACGATCCTATGGGGAAGCAACTGCAAACTACTTTTCCATGCCACTCTAAACAGGAGCCCAGTTGGGTGCAATGATGCCTGAAGGAGCAGAACTAGGCTAATGCAAGAGATATCTGAGAGGATGTTACAAGGTTAGTGGAATGAGTGGTTAGTGGAACCCTCTGGCTTGACAGTGGATGCATGAAGGCGCTTACCTTTTTTTGCTGTTTTTCAGTCATCCATACGAGCCAGCCGGGGAACCATTGGAGGCTATTTCCTGGCAGGACGATCTATGACCTGGTGGCCTGTGAGTGAATGACTCCCTCTGTTTCTCTGGTTTAAAAGAAATCCTTTAATAATTCCTACTAAAGGAAGCAGGTCTAGCAAAGGGAGCCGGTTCATACACTTTTTAACAATAGCCTGGAGACATGGGATCCATAAGAAATCATCCCGTGCAGTTTTGCTAATAGGCAGCAACCTGGAGCTAACGGGTCAAAAGGATAGTTTAGCATTTTCAGTTCATTCAGTCCTCACTTTCTCCAGCAAAGTCAGCAAGAAAAATGTTCATGCTGGTGAATGTGTGGGAGCTATGATAGCACATCTGTGTTTGAAACTCCTTGGCCTTAGCCATACAGTTGTCCCCAAAGCCAAGAGAGCACTACGTAATCTAGGAATCTAGAAAAACACATTTAGAGATTGAAGAAGAAAATCATAGATCTCTGGACGTGTGATCCAAGCCATATTTAGAGTAAAGTCAACATTATTGACTAACAATGTCAAACTTCAAACCATGAAAGTATAAATCCTCACTATGAAAGAAAAAAAAATCTATTGAAGATGCCTTTTCTTGAGAGTGAAAGATACATATAAAATAATTGAAAATTTTAAAGGAATAAAAATGCCACAGGAATAAATATTCTTTTCAGACAATGCCAAACTCTGTTGCCTTATATCTCTTCAGTGAGTCATGGGTAGTGGAATGCACTTTACAACCAAAACACTTTCTTTTTCCTTTGGATGTGCATTGCTCATAAATTCAATAGACTCAATTTTCAACCTCTTCTATCGATCAGAGACACATACGTATCTCTAAAATCTCTATTTCTTAAATACTTCTGTCTCAGCCAAGTGGCATTTAGTGAAAAACTTACCTTGATATTTTTCTGTAATTAGGAAGGGAAAATTAGAATATGTTAAAATGTAAGTTTCTTATCAATATCTCCTTCTTTTAAAACAAAATTCTCATTGTTTTTGAGTCCAACCCAAATTCAAAGCAACCTCTAATGTTGTTCACTTTTTGATTTTGATTTTTTCAGCTAGAGAGTCAATTCCAGCTCTGCAGATCTTTCTGCAGGTTCAGGTCTTCTTCGTTTTGACCTTGAATATTCAATTTATGTATTTTTTTTTATGGGAGTGACAGATTTCTGCTCTATGTTGGACAGCTTCAGACAAACCCTGACATTATGGCTGCTGCTCCTGTGCTACCATCACCTGTATTTCTGTGTCTGTCTGACGTATGTATCAGGAAAACTGTTTACTTTTCTTGGGAGCTCCAGTCCCTATCCAAGGTGCAAATTCAGATTGCAGCAGCCAGCTCTCTAATCAGGACTTTTCCTAGCAGACAAGAAGGAAGAGCTGCTGGCAGGATTTGCTGCACTGTGAGCATTCATATTAATGTTTTACATTGCTCCATAGAGAGAAGCAGGTCAAATTCCATTTTTTTTTCCAAGTTGAGCAGTACCAGAGAGTGAAATGCTTTTCATAGAAGATTTGTCTCAAGCAAACTTCCTCTGCAAAGTTAAGCCTCACCTTGTCCTTTTGGTAACTTTTCAGCTGACCATGAGAGGGATTTGGCTTTGGCATACAGAAAGGAGGTGAGACTTTGTGCCAAGTAAAAGTACTAATGAAGTCAGATATTCCTTGGCCTGTGTTTAAAGCACCTTGCAGCTTGCATTCTTCCAATTAGGGGGTCAATGAGCCATGCTAGGGACAGTACTGTAGTTAACTCAAGGCATTAATATATACATAGCTGAGCATCTTTGAACCTACATAGTCAATGAACACAAAAGAGGCATTAGCATTTTCCAATCTGCTACAGAACTGTGTATCTTTGAACCTACATGTGGAAATGAACACAAAAGACTGCATGTTTCTAGGATGTTCCTGCCATGGGTCAGTGATCCCCTTCCTTAGGAGGGGCTCCAAAAGAGCGTTCCTATCACCATGGCTATGTAAACACCACATCGTGTTTAGTGTAAAACTTAAAGAAGGAAGTATCTCTGCAAGCATCATAGAGATTGAGCCCAAAGGGTCAGCAAGATTGGAGAAGGCTAGTTGTATAACAAGGAAACAGAGAAATATATCATATTTTCTGGTCAGTGAGGTGTCTGATTTGGCTACCACCAAACTTCCCCTCCCTGACAGAACTAACATATAGCTAAGGAGACCATTGCCAAAGTGAACTCTGACTCTGTGATTAAGGAAGGCAGCAAACACACTCTTTTAAAGACATAAATATGTAAGGTCTTTTTAAGAAAGTGGGGAGAAAACCCAACTTCACATTAGTGTCCAGACACTTACTTGAAAGGCTTGCACCAAAACAGAAATTCCTCAAAATGACTTTCTGTTTTTGTTTGTTTGTTTGTGTTTGTTGGTTTGTTTTTGTGCCTGTGCTGTGTTTCAGATCGGAGCGTCTCTGATGTCGAGCAACGTGGGCAGTGGTTTGCTCATTGGCCTGGCGGGCACTGGAGCAGCTGGGGGCCTTGCTGTTGGGGGCTTTGAGTGGAATGTAAGAGTCAGCTAAACTGGCAACTAAAATATCACAGTTTATAAAAGGGCTGGGGGCGGGTTGTCTCCACAATCAGCTGCCAGCAGGATCGGAAATGCCAGGTTGTCAAACTTCAGGGGAGAGACCTCCAGAAATTGAGACAACTTTAAAGCATGACATCTTAATTTTACTTTAAAGAGAATCCACTTATATTATTAGCTCTCTGACCTTCCTACATGCACACAGGCCATGTTTTTCAGCTTTAGTCTGCTGTCATCGAGACTGAGATGAAAGATACTGTATGCCAAAAAGGTACTTGGGTGATCGCAGGATTCTGGAAACAGTGACTTTGAAAACAAGGCATCGTGTGCTGCTAAATGCAGTCTAAAGCCATGAGAACTGGCAACACAGTATTCACCTGTCATCTTCTGAAATGTGACATCTCTGAGTTGAACATCTGGGTGCGAAGGCAGGTCTCATTCTGCCCTACTGAAATAACCAGGGAAATTGCCACCGACACCACACGGAGAATGAAAACCAGGCCCTTTGTGTGAGATGCTAATGAAATTTCTCAGCTGCAGTGATGAGGACTGAGATTAGAGCCAGCCTCACAATACGCATCACTCACCTACCTCTGTATCTCCTGTCTTTATCAGCAGAGACTGATAATAGTGCCCAATACTTGCCAAGCACAGGCAGGACCCACCAAGGCTCTTTCCTGGTGTGTGCATTCACTGCAGCTGTTTTTCCTAAACCATTAGGATCACCTTCAAATGTTTTGTGAAGAACCCAGAGCCTGCATTCAGGCTGATTCCTGTAGAACATATCAATATTACTGTATTTTAAGTAGAGCTATGCAGATCCTTTTAGAAACCCATGAAGACAGTAGATTGGATTTTAGCACAAATCTTAATGAGTTTAGATTCATTTCTTTGAGACTGGGAAGAACCTTAGGATATTATTCCTCTTTTTTTTTTTTTTAATCCTGCAGTGTGGGACACTCAGCTGTGGAGATGAGGGGCAGCTATTGGCGTCTTTTACCTAAGTCTGTCTGAGGCACTGCAGAGCCCTTGCTGTTCTCTTCAGTCTCTCACAGCCATTGTCCCCAGGGCTCAGTTTCATTTCTGACAATTTAAATGACTAATCTAAAGAAAATCCAGACTAATAAAAGATACTCGGATGAAAGGTAATAGCCTGAGACATCCAGGAGGTGGGGCTTGACAGTTTACTAGCTTTTATATAAATTAAAGATCTCCTGTTTTGGCTTTTGCTGGGTTTTAGATGAGAAATACATGATTGGAGATGCCTTTTTGCTTTCTAAAAGAGTCTTCACCTGTAGCAAAGCAACCAAACTGCCCTTGATCTGCCTGACACCGAAGCAGATCTGCTTCACTCTGAAGAGAGAACGCCCTGGTAGAGTCTTGCTGTTGCTTATTTTTATGCTCCACAGGGAGAGTCTGTTGCCTCAGCCTCATCACTTGCTAATCAAGCAACAAACAGATGCTCCCATCCTTCTCTGAATCACTTAACTCTTCATCACCACAGCAGCAATGACTGCAAAGGCCAGCAAATACAGCACCTTCTTTTAGACGCCCATAGCAACAAAATACATCATCTTGCCAGAGGCACAAAGATGGAACAGGATGTGTCACCCTGTGAAAAAGAGGCAAGGGGCTTAGGAGGAAAAGTTCAAAGTTTATAATTCTATTGCAATAATTCATCCATCATCTTATGTTCTGAGCGGAGACAAAATCCTATGTGCATTTCCCAGACTGTTGCCCAAATATATTGCCTAAGCATTGCATCTTTTTGCTCTCTCAGGGTCTCCTCTGAAAGAAAAGAGGAGACAGAAGTTCCCAAGTGTTGAATCATGTGCATTTATTTTGTCTTTCTCATTACCAGGCTACCTGGGCGCTCCTGGCTCTCGGCTGGATCTTTGTGCCTGTTTACATCGCAGCAGGAGTGGTCACTATGCCAGAGTACCTGCAAAAGAGATTTGGAGGGCAGAGGATTCAAATCTACATGTCCGTACTGTCCCTCATTCTCTATATATTCACCAAGATATCCGTATGTATCCAATTGAATGCAATCCTTCTGTTTAGGACAGACATTTCAGGGCTTCCTGAAACAACGCAGGGCTGCTCAGAGATAACTCAGATGTCCTTGAAAGGACCAGCTCAGCTATTGGAAACAGTATCACTGTGTTAGTGTGCTGCTTTGCTCAAGTAAATACCTGCCTCTGCATTGATCATGGAGACCTACCCTGCGAGAGAGAGGAAGAGAGCCCTCATTAAACAGCAATGCACAGTGAGAAATTTACGGGGATATGGCAGCTAATTAATAAACAGTATAAATATCATGGGTCTCTGCCTGCTTTTAGCCATCCGTCAGAGCAAGCCTTAGACAATGCAGACAGGAAGAGTCGCAGCATTTCCCCATCTGAGGATTTGGCAGGCTGCATGTTGTAAATGTGAAATTCTCTTTAAATTACCATAAATCTGCATTGTCCTGGTGATTATTTTGATGTTGTTCTTGTAATTGAGTTTTCAACATTATTATATTAATGCATTACAGTTACTCCTATCTCTCTCTGTCATTTGTGTTGTATGGTAAAAGGGAGATAGGTCTGAACTTAAGACAAAGCTCAGCATCCTTTCTGGTTTGCTTGCTCCCTGCTGGTAGCGTTGTACCCTGCTGGTAGCCAAAAAACAGTGTTAACTGTTGGGTAATTCCTTTTATTTTAGTGTCATGGATGCATATGGAGAATTTACGCTCAGAAATTTGATAAGGATTACCTGTGATCCTGGAGGGAAAGGACTGTATTTTGGAATCCATTACAGGGACTGAAAATGTCTGTCCGTTGTCTCCAGCTGATTGCTCTGTGTCCAATCCAAGTTAGTTCTGACTGGACTCGGGCAATGTTTTTGATGTTGTTCTGTCCCACAATACATATGTGGCACCCACATGCTTTTGGAGGCAAATCTCAGTGTCTTTCTCCCAGGCTGGGCTACATCTCAGGCCTTGGGAGATGTGCTTCAAAGTGCTAAATGAGAACCTCACTCACTAGACATTCATGCAGGTGGATCTTGAGGAGCACTGAAGTGAACAGTGTGAGAGCACTGAACACATTTCCCCCTTTAACAGCAAAGTTCTGGTTGTGTCACTCATTGCTGCTACCACTGTCTCCCAAATGCTTTGCTCTGCAGGATAGAAACATTGCCTAAAATCAGGTCTTGCAAAGAGAAATTTGCAGCAGAACTGGGTGCATGCAGAGTGACTGGTCTTTCCTGCCATAGCACAGCGCTGTGCACGGCCAGGCACTAGATAGGCATGGTGAAAAAAGACCAGTATTTCAATATGACCTTCATCAGCCAGTGCCTTCCAGAGCAGGGCCCTGGCCCTAGTCACTGCTGTTTTGTCTCAGTAGTTTCTCCTCTCTGCAGCTAATTCACGCGTGGCTGATGGATGTGGCTAGTGGAGTTTATGGGCATGGCAGATGCTTTCTTTTAAGCACTACCTCTGTGTGCAGAGAGCTCATTTAGTGCCTCACTGGACAGCAGGCAGTTGGTTACAAAAAGAATTTTTTTCCCCTCTGTTTTTGATCAAAAATAGGTTAGCAACAAGGGCACTGTAGAGTCCTTCCTGCTTGCAAGGAAGAAGAGAGAACTGAATAAACAACATTGTCAAAGGGGCAACCCTGCGTGGCTACAGAGCTCTTTGCATTTCCTGCTAGGAAGTCGAAGGCCAGAATAGAGAGTTGCTTTTGTAGTGTCCTGACTTTAGAGCATGTCTCATAATTACAGAATCAAGGGGTGCACTTGGTGCTTGCTTTCCAGGTGCTTATTGTGGTACATAAAATAGCAACCCTTGCCCCATTCCTTCTGTCTCACTTTGCAAATGCCTTCGCCTGTGTCATATCATGTTTACAGGTGTCCTTCAGGTTGATTTCCCAACGCATGCACATCTCCCATGTCACCTTCTGCATCTGCAAGATATTTATCTGCATAATTTTATGTTTCTCTCAGACTCTGGTTTCTCTCTCTTTGTTAATAAGTCCAGTCAAGGTGAAGTCTGTGGGGATTTCTGTATGTCTGCTAAGGCCCTGAGCAGCAGGTATAACCAGTTTTACTGGAGTCACTCCAGTGAGCTACACAAACAGAAAAGCAGGCTGATGACCATTTTAGATTAAAAAAAAAAAATCCAGGCCACAAGATATAATGATTCATCAGGGGTCTCTCAGGCTCAGAATGTCTTTTGGCCATGAGGCCACCAGGCCACGGTGATGGGAAGAGACTGGCTTGTGCTACTTGCCCCAATTTCCTCATGATTCTGTCCCGTAGAGACCTGGACTCAGTTCAAAGGCTCCAAGGGCATGGGGAGCTTTCCCATCTGTTGCTGACTCCTCACAGATCTCTTCACAATCAGTAAATGATGTGTCCATTTCCACCAATAACTTTCTGTGCCAGTGAGGAACCATGCCATGAAGACTGCCTGTAAGAAAGATATTATTTTGGTAGCTTTGTGGTCCCTTGATCTGCCCCAGCTTCCAGAAACCGAGGTGTGTGACCTGGAGGAGGAATGTTCTTTACATTGAGTTGAAGAAGATCCACTACTAACAGCCCCCTACTCTCTCCTCCTTTTCCAGTTCACCTTCGTGGTGTCCCTTGTCATTGTTTTCAGCCTCAGAGGACTGCAGATTGCTCTATTAGATTTCACGTGATTGAAACATTACTAAAGTCAGACCTGCTTTGTTCTTTTTTATTCAATTCCAGACAGACATTTTCTCTGGAGCATTGTTTATCCAAATCTCTTTGGGCTGGAACCTCTACTTGTCCACTGTGGTTTTGCTAGCAGTGACTGCTGTCTATACTATAGCTGGTAAGTAGTTGACTTTAGCAGCAACTCCAGAACCTGGAGCCTAGATTATGTTTTCCCTTTCCTTTATATGGAAAAGTATTCAGGTCCTGATCTGTGGCAAAGGTTCTTCTGGTTGTGTGTAGTATCTGCACTGCTGAAGACCAACTGTTGAAGACCTCTGACTATTCCCTTCTTCTCTCCTTGCCCAGGGAGAAATCAGTATTTGGAGAATGTCACTATTTTCTAGAGTTTCTTAATGCAAATACTTCTGGTTTCCCCTGTGCAGTTAGATGCCAATCCAGTTTTGCTCTCCTGAATGTGCAGAAATGAGTCAAGGAAAACATTTTACCAGGAAGTGCCTGTTTCCATTAATGTAGGTGACCCAAGTTAACGTTGTGTCTCTTTTCTCCTGACAGGTGGATTAACAGCTGTGATATACACAGATGCACTGCAGACACTGATCATGGTGCTGGGAGCTTTGGTGCTCATGTTCATTGGTAAGAGGATCTTGGTGGCATCAAGATCACCCTTTCACGTATGTCTCAGAAATGGGCTTTAATAATTCACATAAGCGGTGCTGGCACAATGGGTTCTTGCTCTCCTCCCCCAGCAAGTCAGTCTTGCTTCCCCCTTTGCACTAACTGTATGCAGGTGAGGTTCTGAATAAAGTTCTCTTGACTGTTTGGGTTTACCTGAAGTATCCAAAGAGTTTGCAAAACTACATTCCTCAGAGCCAAGTGCTACTGTCACTGTGCTCTTATAAACTCAGGATAATTCATCTGACTTTCCTTGTTGACTTTCGGAGTTATTGTGAATTCACCTGAGTGTAACTAAGTACTAAGGAAAAAAAAAAGATAAAAAACTGAGAAACATCATTCTTTGCTTTAAGCCTTCTTGGCAAACAAAAACAGAGATGCACCTTGTTTCATTTCATACCTTCCTGCTCCAGCTTTTGGAGGATATTTAAGCAAGACCAGATTCTGAGGTCATCAGGGGGATTAGGATCATGGAGATTTTCTTGCATTGATCATCTTCCAAGATGCACTGTTAAAACCACAAGGACAGTGGGTAAAATCCAACTGATTCCTGCACAAACCTTGTCTGCCAAAAGCAAGGGTGGGAGGAAAAAAAGCTATGAGAGGGTGATAGAGAAGAATCATGACACTCAGATAAAGGAATATCTTTGCAGGAGGCACCAGACCTTAAATCACTATTTTCTTTTCAGGATTTGAAAAAGTTGGCTGGTATGAAGGACTTAAGGAGAAATACAGCATGGCTGTGCCAACGGTCATAGTCCCCAACACAACCTGTCACCTCCCACGTGCAGACGCCTTTCATTTGTTAAGGGATCCGATCACAGGAGACATTCCTTGGCCTGGCCTTATATTTGGCCTTTCGGTGCTGGCTCTTTGGTGCTGGTGCACTGACCAGGTAAGGTGCTTCTTCCTCCTCTCTTCAGGCAAACTTCTGAGCTGGTATTTCCAGGACACTCCTCAGTTTGTAGATCTATGAGCTGAAACTTGTGTGGGAGTCACTGCCTCGATTACTGGACTAGACCAGAACAGCTCACATCTTCTACCCTCTCAGCAAGCCTCTAACTTTGTGCATTTAATAATGTGGGAAAAGTATTATTTTTATCTGTCTTTATCCCACTGATAGCTGGTGAGTGTCGGAGAAGGGGGTTATGCAGTTAATTTGACAAGGAGGTGGAGGAACTGCCTCTGCAGTGGCTTTGTGTGGACCCTCAGGCAAGCCGCTCATATGCCAGCTCATGTCAGTTTTCTTATCCCTACCCAAGCAACAAACAAGGAAAAATGTATTTGCTTCTCAGGAAGATTGCTTTTGTGGTTCAAGGTGAGGTAGTCACCAAAACCCACCACTGCACTTTTACTAAGCCCACTTCATTCCTTGCTTCTTGCTGCTGGGTGCACTGCTGCATAGCGGCTGTGTCCTCAGTCCTCAAGGTAGCTTCATTTCAGTCAAGGGTGAAATGATTCCTGTAAAGGAAATTTCCATGCTGCCCTCTCCTCTAGCCTGTGCACTGAGCAGTGGCAGCAGGCTGCAGTCAGCTGAGATGGGAAAGCTGCCACTGGCATGCAAAACACCCTGGGACCCTGCTGGATGAAAGTCATCCACGAGAAGAGGAGAGAGGGGATGGATCCTGCTCTCTCTGCGGTGCTTCTGCTTACTCCCTGTGCCTTTCACCAATTTCAGGTGATAGTCCAGAGGTCTCTCTCTGCCAAGAATCTCTCCCATGCCAAAGGTGGATCAGTGCTGGGAGGGTATTTGAAAATTTTCCCAATGTTTTTCGTTGTCATGCCAGGAATGATCAGCAGATCTCTCTACCCAGGTAGGTCTTGCTGTGTTTCTAGCACTGTTAGGCTTCAGTGCCTCCCCTGTCCTCGTAGTCCTGCAGGCATACTCATATAAATTGCTGCTGTGCTCTGATGTTCTCATGACCTCTGTCCACTCCCACTGCTCCCAGAGTAGGAGAAGTCTTTGGGAATACCCACACTGGGCTGTTGGAGACATATAGCTCCATGCTGTGACATTGCATGCATCTGCCTAACTGGAAAAAGTCAGTCTCCAAAATTTGCTGGATCTGCAAATCCTATGGAGTATGTCTGTTTGTTAGGTATTTGGTCAGAGCTATAGCAATCTGCAACACAGATTCATGCAATTCCTGGTGGATTTTGCAAGGCCACTTAATCCCTCCCTTGGGGAAGAGCAAGAGTTCTCCTCATGTTGTCTCCCAAAGGACACTCATTGCTGCTTTCTTTAGAGCATTCTATTTCATTGAGAGAGTACCCTGGTTAGGAACACCAGTTGGGAGGAAAACCTAAGTGCTTCTAGTGTTTTGCTTCCAGACTTCTTCAAATAGGAGTAAGTCAGTGTGCAACATTCTTGGTAAGCCAAATGACTGGCTCATAGAACCAATTAAATTCCTACAAAGAAAAATTCAGCAAGGGTTGCAACCAGGTAACATTCAGCATGTTGTATCTATACCTTAAAAAGAAAATTGCAAAAAAATCATCTTGTAATTTCATCTTCATTTCATAGCATATAATGTTCTTCACCTCAACTCAGTCTAGCAGTGTTTACATCTATGCCTCTGAATTTGTAGGAAGTCATAAAAGGCATCAAGATTTGTTCTCTTGAATTATATGTCCTGCAGTTGAAGATGCTTTACACTGACTTCTAATTATTTTCCTGTCTCTGACAGATGAAGTAGGATGTGTGGACCCAAACATCTGTAAAAAGGTCTGTGGAGTTGCAGTGGGTTGTTCTAACATTGCCTACCCTAAGCTCGTAATAGAACTTATGCCTGAAGGTAAGAAACCTTATATGTGCAGAGGTGGGCTTGAGATAAGCAATGCAGGGTGGGATTAGATTGCCCTTATCCATCATAAAGATGAGGAATTCTTTTTCTGCAGTCTTTAGCCATTTTCTTCTGTAACCTAGTGGAATATGTCTGCATGTGTTTACACAACAAAAGAGGTGATAGTGAGTCTGGTAAAAAAAAAAAAAAATGATAGTGAGTCTGGTAAGAAAATGGAAAGTACCATCTGAAAAAGATGATGGAAGAAACAAAATATCTTCTGATTTTTGAAAAAGATGCTGGAAGAAACAAAATATCTTCTGATTTTTCAACTAAATTGTTTGGTTGCTACATTTTTGAGATATGTGTGTGACACCTGCATTTTAAAAAAGAAAAATTCCAGAGGTTTTTTGTTTGTCTGTTTGTTTGTTTGTGTGTGTATATGTAAGACGTGGGAGCTGGTGCTTACAAAGTGCCGGTATCTTGGCCTGAACCAGGCCAGCGATTGCCAGAGGTTTTTTGTTTGTTTGTTTGTCTGTGTGTATATGTAAGACATGGGAGCTGGTGCTTAGAAAGTGCCAGTATCTTGGCCTGAACCAGGCCAGCGATCAATTAAGGCTCTGCTGCAGCACACACTGCTGCTGCTGGAAGGCAAGAGGTTTGCTTCTGATTTTCATTCCTTTTAATGCAGGGCTGCGGGGTTTGATGATCGCTGTGATGATGGCAGCCCTGATGAGTTCCCTGACCTCCATCTTCAACAGCAGCAGCACCCTCTTCGTTATAGACATCTGGCAGCGGATCCGCAGAAAGGCTTCAGAGCAGGAGCTGATGATTGTGGGCAGGTCCTTACATTTCTTTATGTCTCATTGCTCTCATCATCTGTTTTGACTGCACTGTTCCTCAGTTTGGCTCACTGAGAAAACCCTCATGCCCAAAACATAAAACAGGAACAGCACAGCCACAGAAAGAGGATTTTGTTTTCCAGGATGCAGAGAATTGAATACTTCATGTCCGTAAGCTACTGACAGGGAAAGTACCTCTTGTTCAGCAATATGGGGAAAGCTCTAAAACACTCAGTGAATACATGGAGGAGGGTGTCGTATGCACCTGGGACTCCAGAAGTAATTTAATAAACAGCAAATGCACTGGTATTTGTCACAACACTAGAACTGAGCATGTTATCTGCCTGGAAGAGTGGTAGAAAGTTGCTTAATGATCATAAGCTTCCAGCTCCCTATCTCCTTTGCATACAAGAGACAGTGCTTTGAAAACAGCTTCACTCTCTAGGATGCACCAGGCTGGGGGCTTGCAATGACCCAGCACATGGCAGAAAGGCTCCATACAGAACCACCATGTCTTTGTGGAGCTCCCATACAAGCTGACCAGCAAATCCCAGCACAGACCTCTCTGAAATACAGCAAATGGGCTTTGGAGATTGGTTGTACATTGATTTCCACAGGAGAATAGTTTTCTTTTATGTTTTTCTTGAGATTTCTGCCTGAGGAATCTGTGGATTTTTTCTTAGGAAATTCCGAAAGCAATCAGAAGTGTGGTTTGCTGCAAAATTTCATTTTCTGGAGGACTCCATCACCTACAGAGTTAATGTGCTTTTATCTTCATCTTGCAGAGTCTTTATCCTCATCCTCGTGGTCATCAGTATTCTCTGGATCCCCATCATTCAATCAGCCAACAGTGGCAAGCTCTTTGACTACATTCAGTCTGTAACCAGCTATTTAGCCCCACCAATCACAGCTCTGTTCATCTTGGCAATCTTCTGCAAGAGGATTAATGAACCGGTAAGTGGAGGGCCATCAAGCAATTGATACACATGTTTGATTTTAATAATAATAATAATATCTCATTATTTAAGTTTGGAGTCTCTTTAGACACAAAGCTACCCCCACTAAAGTGTGACAACTAGAAAATATTCTCCTGACATCCCATAGTGGAACCCTCTGGTGCTTGGAAGTTTGCTTCCAAGAAACCAAGAAGCAAGTGATACTTCTTGGCAGTCTCTGTTAAAAGAACAAAAGCCAAAGTTTCTCCATCCCTGAGGGATAGTGTCTTGGGGTCTGACTAGAGGCATGTTGCTAGGAAGAGACTCTTGCATTTTCTGCACTCTATCTGTTCCATGTTCAAGGACAGAAAGAGAAAATCAGTATTTTTAACTGAAAACTTCCTCCTTTGATGCATGTCAGTGTGGGATTCCATCAGGCATAAAAGATCGTAGTCTAAGAAAAGAGCTGTATTAAAAAAAAAGAAAAAGAAAGAAAAGATCAACCAAAGCTAACATGTGCAGTGACCTCTTTTTTTTCTGTGCTTGCCTTTTCTCAGGGTGCTTTCTGGGGTCTCATGGTTGGACTGGCTGTTGGTCTCATTCGGATGATCATGGAGTTTGTTTATAGCACACCCTCATGTGGGGAGGAGGACAGAAGACCTGCTGTGCTAAAGGACTTGCACTACCTCTACTTTGCGCTCATCCTCTGTGTCCTCACTGCCATTGTCATTGTCCTTATAAGTCTTTGCACCCCTCCAATCCCCGAAGAAAAGGTAAGAAGTGACCTGTGATGGCATCTTTTTCTTAGAGTTCTAGTTTGGTTTCCAAAAATCGGTAAACTTGGCCTTTTCTCTTCCTCGCATGGATCCCCGAAGAAAAGGTAAGAAGTGGCCTGCGATGGCATCTTTTTCTTAGAGTTCGAGTTTGGTTTCCAAAAATGGGTAAAACTTGGCCTTTTCTCTTCCTCGCATGGTTGAGAAATGATGCGTAATGCGTATGCTGCAAAGAAACACCTGTTCCTCAGCTTTTTATTTCCCAGGTCTTACAGTGTTAATGCTTCCTGAGGCACTGAGCGCTTGAAATTGAGTGCAAGTTCCCATGCTGTGCCTGGAGCTGGGCAGACACTACAACCCGTCATAACTGGAATAAAAAGGAGAAGAAGAAGGGGGAAGGAGGGAAAATCATATTACAGATGGCTGCTGAGGAGGAATTAAATATATCTAATTGTAGCATCTACCCTGTTTCAGCAGAGCCAGCATCAATCTTGCTGGCAAACAAGATTAATACCTCCTGAACATAGGCATTTAGGAAAATAACATTTTGTCCCAATGTGATCTCAATTACATTTAATAACTTTGAGTCAGGCACAGATTTCTTTTACTTAACAGATTTAAAACTGCACAGAGTTTAGAGGCTTTATTTACTAACACCTTAAAGCAACTATTCCTTTTCCTAAGTCCTAAAGCAGCTGTCAATATAACAAAACTGCCATCTTCTTCCGAAGGAAGGTTACAGAGTAAAACTGTAAAATTAAAAAACACTTTTTTTCCTTTCTGTCTAGCTTCCTAAAGAGATAAGGGTGATGCTCTCATAGCAGTTCTCTCTGCTGCTTCCTCATAGCTTGTGAAGCATTAACCAGCTCCATCAATGTTTGATTGAATGGTAGTGGTGTCAAAGATCCACAGCTCCTGAAGATTACATGAAAGCAGGCACTCAGATAGGGAAGAGAAAGAGACTTTTTGAGCCTGTGTTGAGATACAGTCTCAGCTTTTATTAGCTATCAGAGGATCCACATGGGATAGAGAAATACTGGCAAGGAGATGCCATTAGTTCTGCTGCTTAGGGGATGACTTGTTCACTTCTGCTTGGGGGTGGGCAGATGGCTGCCCGCAATTAACTGCTGTGGTTTAATGAGTTTCCACTCATGAGCTGACCTGTGATAACTAAACATGTGCAGTGCTCCCTGCCCACAGTAACAGCAAGATAAGATGCATTAGTGTAGCACTGGCAAAGAGTGAACATCACACCAATAGTGCAGGAGATGACAAACTGGCCATTGCACCTACAGAGTTTTTACCACTCTCAGTGGTACAGAAGCAATTAAAACACATTTTAAAAGTTGGAAGGAATAATAAAAAAACATGTAGAGTAATGGAAAATGAGACAAAATGCAACATGCATTTACCAAAACTAGCGTATTCCTGCCTAATCTGATTTGCTAGACAAAGGAAGCTTGGTCTATCATATCTAGCTGGATTTTATAAACTATATATAATACCATATGGGATGTGATTAGCTACATTGAGGAGGAGTATGATTAGCAAAAGAAGTATCTGGCTTGGAGGATGGTACCTTTTGGTTGGTGTTATCTAGCCATTTCATTAGTAACGATGTTGCTAGACCCTCCCTAACTTTGTATGATTGTTGATGTTTATGATGATGACCCGAAATCTCACAAAGAAAGAAATGCATGAGCCTAAATCCTGGCTTATTAAATTGGGCTGATATTAAAAGAGATAAACATGAACAGAGGGTCTAGTAAAACTAAGGGCTGTTACAAATTGAAAGCTCAGCAAGTGGAACTGCCAGACAACTGAAAAATGCCCAGAGAGTGTCTCTTAGTAATGGGATGAGCAACTACTATAATGGCATTGAGGAAAAACAGATACTGCATAGAATGGTCCTCTAAGTAGAAATAGATGAGTTTGGAGCTACTGGACTCAGAGGACCTTATTGACATACTTCTCAAAAAGCCAATGCTTTTCCAAAAAGTGGTGATGTTCCAAAAGGTTCCAAAAGGACTGGTAATTGTCCAGAGAGGATGGCCACCAGGGAGAACATTTTTTCCCTCTTTACAAGTCTCTGTAGGACTGTAGAAGTCTGCCCATAATTGGTTTTAGTCTGTTTTCCTTTAAGTTCCTGCTGTTCACCCCTAATCTCCATGGGAAAGACCTGACCTTAATCCTCAGAGAATAGTCAAAGCAGTGTTTTTTAACCTGAGGTAGATGCCGGTATAGGGGGGTTGCTGCCTGTCTGCCATGTGTCTGAGAGGACAGCATTAAATTCAGCAGCTCTCATTTTTCCCTCAGTCAGACTCACTCCAGCCTTTGCCGTGGACATGAGCCCTGGTGTCGGGTCGCACCGTTGTGCGCGGTGGAGTGGACTCCCGTGCTGTCCTATCCATGCGTTGGGTGCTGCTGAGGTACCACCACACACGGGGGGTGTCTCCTGGTCTCACGTCACTCTATGCTGTGCTGAAATGCCTGAAGGACAGAAAGGTTGCAGGGAGGAAAGGCAGAAGGTGGATATCAGCATGGACAAGTCAGAGTCTAGCCCTCTGGGTAGAGACTAGCATCCGAACTTAATCTTTTACTACAGGCAAAGTTGAGTTTCTCTTTGTTTTTCATGTGAGCGGGCAAACTTGTGGTGAAGAGCCCTCACATCCCTGTGATAGTGGCTGGGGGGACTAAGGAATGCCTTCGCCAAGGATATATGGAGATTATTCCTGGCTCTGCCCTTTCCGGGCTCTGAATGCTTGGACAGCTCCCTGAGTGAACTCCGGATATTCCCCCACAGAAGTCGCATGGGGATAGTTCTGCTGGCTCTTATCTGCACACCATTTTGAGATAAAATGATGAAAGACACTGTGTAAGAGTTAGCAGTTATGCCATTTATTTTGCCAAGCAAAAGGAAAAGAAAAACAAACCAAGAAAAAAAAATGTAAGGAAATATGGTGATAGATCAGACCTCAGCAGATGTAAATCAGCATAGCTCCACTGGGCTCAAAGACCAGGAGCAGCTGTTGGGCTCAGTTATGCCACTTTACACCAGCTGAGGATCTACACTGTACAGCTTTAAATATTGAGTCTCAATGCTTTGCAGATAGCAAATGGGCAGAAGGAAAAAAAGAGATTTGTATCTGATGTTAGAGCAGTACAGTTAATGTGCCTGGCTTTAAATGAATTACAATCTGAGAACTGCAAGCTGTAGCATTTTCCCCTGCTGTTTTGGACACTCTCCCATCCCTGTGGTGATTGATGCTGTGCTGGAAAACAAGTATGCAAGGAATTTGTTTGGTATGCTCCAGAGTTCATATGTCTTCATTGTAGGTAGTCCATATTGTGTCACGCCGTCCTTGAAAACCCTGCAAAAGAGCTTACAATTAAATTTAAGACTGTGAAGCTGAAACACAACTGTCAGGTGCCAGATGGCATTTTGGAACAGAAGGATTTATTCTAGTTTACAAACAACAAAAGAAAAACTTTGCTGAGTTGTTGCAAACTCCCTTGTCTGAGAAAAATGTAGAGGGGAAAAGGAAGAAAAACAGTCCACAAAATGCATGGCGAAACAGTGCCACGCAAGCAGGTCACCTACCTAGGGATCAGGGCTTAGGTTTTTCTGTCAGGCTGATGGAGCAGAATTCCAGCTGTTGTGTTTCACAGTCAGAAATGTTTTACCAGTGTGCTGAGGTCTCCTTTAGGTACACAGCCCAAGCCTGACTATGTACTACAGCCAGTTTTGACATGCCCAGCTGGCCCGAACCTACACCATGCACTCCTGAGGTTCTGAATCTGGGCAGGTTCAACCTCCCAAAGCATTGCTTAGTGCCACTGAGAGCAGAAACTGGTTGACTCCTGTGGAAACCAGGCACTCCCAGAGGAGCAAATCAGCCACTTTGCCCAGCAAACTCTGGCATGGATCCTGGCTCAGGTACACAGCCCTGGTGGTGCCCTGATGGCAGAATGCCAGTCAGCAGCACCTCCTGCACCAGGATCTTGAAGCACTTTGTGAATGTTCTGCTGCTCTTCCCACCACTGCTGAATTGAACAAGTAGAGATGGGGGCGACTTGGGCTGAGGGGACATCCTATGTGCCCTCATTTGGCTCTGCTCATGTTGTTGCGTGGCCGGGAGCTCTGCAGCACAGGAGAGACACCACAGGCTGCCAGGGGCAAGCCCCGAGTGATGGGAAGAAGCAGCTCTTGGTGTCCTGGCAGCTCCGATCATGCAGAGCTTCCCCTTTGAAAGCTGCAGACGGGAACACGCCTGCACCCTCCTCCTCTGCTTCCAGCCCTGGAGCCCTGGCGTTACCGTGAATGCCTAGTGAGTGAAGAACCCCCAAAATCCACACACCACGTCATCCCTGCATCCCACACACACCCCTGGTGTGGCTGCTCACAGCATCCATAGGGACATGGGGCTCCCAGAGCAGTGCTCGTATGCAGCAGCGTTTCTAAAGTCCCCGTCAATTATGCTAAAGCAGTTTCCCCATCAGCAGTTCTCCTTATTTATTTATTTGCTCGCTTGCTTTCTCCACATATGCAAAATGTGCTCTCCCCTTCCTCCCCCTCCTTCAACCCTGCCTGCTTTCAAGTTTGTGCCAAGGCAGTGTAATGAGTCTGGTAGTCTGTGGCAGTGAAAAGCTGCCAGCCAGCCCTGGGTGATGGAGAAGGGGGTAAAGAGGGACCACAAGGTACTTACCTGGCCCAAACCCACCCCAGGGTGGGTTGAAGCTGAAGCACATGGAGACTTCACTGGTGAGTGTCCATGGGTCCCTCCTGCTCTCCGTGGACAAGGGCTGGGGTGCACAGCTGCCACACTTGTGGACTGCCCCCACCAGCCGTCCCTGGGGCAAATAAAAGCTGAAGAAGGAAAAGAGTGAATGAAAGCAAATCTGGCAGCCCATCGCTCTGCACATACTTGAGGCAGGAGAGCACATCTCAGCTGAGAGCGTTACTGATGGTGCCTAAGCACCGTGAAGGGCGTCTCAAGGCAGGAGAGGGTTAGCTAAGCTCCCTCTGGTACTAAGTATGTTTGGAAGCAACAACTGCTATGCTGAAAGGAGAAAAAGGGTATGTTTTAGTGCCTGCTTTTCTAGCACCATTCTCCTCACTCTGGAGGGGTCAGCAATTGTGGGCCTGGCTAAGACAGACTCTAGGATTCCTGGATACTGGGTGGTTACTGTCAAAAAGCCTGTCCTGGGTAGGTAGATGCTGATATGCAATAAGGTATCACAGGCATCTGTGCTGCTTTCAGCACCTACCTGGGAATTGCTCCTATCTGGCAGAGTCTGAGCCCCAGGGAAACTCCAGTTCTGGCAGGTGTCACTTCAATGGGCAAAACCAGCCACTCAGTGACATATATGCAGAGGTGGGAAAAGAAGAAAAAAGTTTCTCGAATTCTTTAGTACACTGAAACTTTGCTAGGTTCCAGTGACATTTCCCAACTGATTAAAAAAAAAAAAGGAATCCTTGAGAGAGATGAGGATCATCAAAATCAAAGCAATTTAGCACATCGTGACAAGAAAGATTAGCCCTGCCCAATGTTCATCTTGGTTGAAAATGATTTAAATAAAGCTATAAATCTTCTGAAAATTATGCAACGTTTTGTGTCAGCTGGAAACTGCTGCCTAGATTTGTGTGTGTAAAATTCAGAAATTAAACTCACGTTACTTTGTAAGTGACCCATTTGAGGTGTTCATCTCCATACGGGCAGAACAAGGAGCTCTCCCTGGATAAGCACAGGACTTCTTTGGCTGATGTGTGGTCTCCAGTGCAGCTTCGCTTGGTGCCATCCTGGGGCTGCGGTGCAGCGCGGGCAGGTGAGGGGGACATGCTATGGACCGTGTCCACCTCTTCCAGGCAGCATTGCTTGGTGTGAGCCTTGCTGTCCTGCTTACAGAGGTTGGGAAAACACTGGTGGTATCAAGCTCCTTGGAGAGCCATGGCCAGCAGAAAGTCAAGGTGGGTCTTTGAACCCTGGGGTGGCACCGACCGCCTTTGCCAGGGTGAGGGCATCTGCACTGAGGGGAGGTGGGCGGAAAGCAGGGGAACATCTTGGCACTGGAGCAGCTTCCAGCATCTTCTCACACCCTTGGCCCACAGCCAGAGACGGTCTGGTTGGCCATTTTGGGGCTGGCAGGCACTAACCTGTTGGCTCTCCATCCCTCTGCACAGCTGGCTTGCCTGACGTGGTGGACCCGCCACAGCAAAGCGCCCGCCATCGACCTGGAGAGCTTCAAGAGCGAAGCAGCACAGATCAACCTGGCCAACGGAGAGAGCAGCGTGGTGGGAAGTGCCGAGCTGGGGGACGAGGAGCAGCCAGGTAGGGCGCCCGGCCGCGAGCCGCACGCGTGCAGCTCTGCGGGCTCTGCCGAGGACTGTTTGGTTGCCCCAGGGCACATCCACAAGCCTCTCTTCTCTCATTTACACTATACCACCTATGATGTTACCCTCAGATAAAAACCACGGTTAAGACTCATACCCAGATCACTTAAGTAGCTGCTTGCCCAATGCAGTGTGTTGTTTAAAAAGGGGAAGACAAAGCAACAAATGAGCTTGAAGAGCTGTCAGGAAGGATGAAGAGAGCAGGAGATGCTACATCTGCAAGTGTTTTTCAGAGTACCCAGAGGTTTCTTCAGCAAAGCCATCAGCAATTTCTTTTTTTTTTTGATTTTTGAGCTTAACTGTCCAAGGTCACAGAGCAGAAACACTCAGAAGAAGGGCACATACACAGGATACATACACAGGACTGTCACTCTGTCCTTTAGCTAATCAAAGGGATACCAGCACCAATTACAGCCAAACTAAACAGAAGTGAAGCACTAAAGAAAACTTTTTTTTATTATTATTAACAGAGTAAGTTTGGGCTTAAATTGCATGCAGTTCTTCCACATTATTTATTATTTCTTATCAATTTCTAGTTCACCTAATTGGCTTGTCTTTCTATAAGTGAATGTCTTGGTAATTTGATAATTAGTAGTGATGGGAGCGGAAATGCAGAACACAGCAGCTGACAGTTTAATGAGTTTTTTTTTTTCTTTCTAGTAACACATTTTTGGAGGCCTTATGACATTCTACCTTTCAAAGAAAGTCATATTTGGAAAGAGCACCCAGTGAACTATACATAGCACTGGGCTAACAATTAAAACATATACTTCACCTGGCACATCACGTGTAATAGATAAGCCAGGTGATCTATAAACAGACCACCATGCTTTCAGAAATTTGTGACTGTGGATGGAAGCCTGTTTGGGAAGGGAAGAAAAATGTTCTGTTAATTAAATAACAAATGATCCAGGTCACAATCAAGGCACAGTAAAAAGGTCATGCTGTAGATGATCCAGACAGAGCTTCCCTTCCCTTTCCTTTCCTTTCCTTTTCCCTTCCCTTTCCTTTTCCCTTCCCTTTCCTTGCCTTTTCCTTTCCCCTTTCCCTTCCCCTTCCCCTTCCCTTCTCTTCCCCTGGGGTCTCTTCCCAGCCCAGGTGCAGGTCAGACCTCACTGCAGATTGCCCACTGCACCTCCAAAGTGGAGGAGCACAGGAGGAATCACCAGCTAAGGGTTAACACTCATTTTTCCACCCTTCTCCCGCAGCAGCCAAGCTTCCTTGCTGGAAAATGCTCTACTTCTGGTTCTGTGGACTGTCCAGCAGCCCCGTGCCCACACTGTCACAGGAGGAGAGAGCTGCCCTGGAAAAGAAGCTCACCAGTATTGAGGAAAAACCCCTGTGGAAGAACATCTGCAACGTTAATGCTATTCTCTTGCTGGCCATTAATGTCTTTCTGTGGGGCTATTTTGGCTGAGGGTGGGGAAGCAGCACGTGTCTTTGGTTCCTCTCGCTGGTCCTCGTCTTCTCCAATCTGGTGCTATGTGAAGACAGAGATACCTGTCCCGGTCCTTGGGCTGTGCCCCGGAGCAGCCCTTCCCGAGAGGCACTGCTTGCTGGCAATGACGACGGGGCTCAGTTTCTCCTTAATTGAGATGAGATTTGAGCAAGACTCATGCCTGGTCACATCTAGGGTTCAGCACAAATGTGGGTCTGCATTTGGGTCCACCAGGAAACCTGGGATCAACTTCAAAGGCTCGGAGCTGTGTCTGGCGGAGAGCTTGGCTCCCTTCCCAAGCCAACCTGCCCCACGGCGCTCAGAGGAATGAGCTCTGCGGAGGAGACGCGAACGCCGCGTGCTGTGACCTGGCCGGAACGCGTGTGTGAGTAACCCAGGGTACTCGGCTCCCGCATTGAGCCTCGGGTGACACCAGCCCGTGGCCACCGCAAGGGGACCAGCACTAGCCAGTCCCCAGCAGCAATGGAGAAGAGGCCCCACTGCCCAGGTCCCCCTCCTCTGTCACATAGCGGTGGATCTTCCTTACAACAACAGCATCCTGTTTATCCATCGGACCAATCCTGCCCCTTGACAGCATTACCAGCAATAAAAGTGCCTTAGTAACAAAGCCAATTTTGACTCCAGGTTATTGTGGTTATATATCCTGTGCTGACGCACAGAGGTCTCGGTGGGACCGTGCTGTCCTGGCGGTGGAAGGAGAATAAATGTCTCTCCTTGGTCCAGGTTGCCCTGGAGTCTGACCCATCCTGGAAGTGTCATGAAACGTAGCATGGCCGCAACCTTTCAAACCTCCTCCAGACGATAAGGTGGCTGCCCCTACTATAAATATCCTTGCAGGTGTTGAGGAAGCTTGTCCAGAGAAAGCTAAAAATGCCTGTAAGGAGCCTGAGTCTCTGCTCCAGCAGCCTAGGGGCACATCCAAGCCACCAGGAACAGCCTGTGTGCGGAGGCAAGGGCATCCAGCAACGCGCAGTGCCATGAGGATGAGGAAAAAATAATCGTAATCCAGCAAGGAGGAGAGGCAAAGGATGTTGTGCCTGTCTGAGCACCCAGAGCTGGGTTCTCTGTGTGCAGAGGACTTCGATTCTGCTGCTGTTTTGAGCACCCCATGTCCGGATGTCAAGGCCAGGCTGCGGGTGCTGCAGGCAGCGCGACGGCGGCCGCCTGCGCCACGCGCCTGGGGCTGCGCTTTTCACACTGAAATGAGCCGGGCCCTGGGCTCAGCTGGCCGGGACACCCGGCATGGAGCGCTGGGTCTAGCCTGGCCCTCTTATTTCCCTTTTTTTTCCTATTGTGCAAAACATGAGCTTCCAAGAGCCGCGCGCAGGGCTGAGTGCTGCTCCGCACCGCCGCAAGCTGGGATGCAGCGATGCAGGCAGCTGTGCTGGCACAGAGCAAGGCAGGCACTTGCTGCGTCTAACAGGAAAAAAATGAATTTAACTAGGAGACGTCTTGGCCCCTGTAGCCCAAGGAGGACAGCGGGGCCTCCGGAGGCAGCCGGTCCCCTCGGCAGAGCCCCCGGGCTGGCTCTGCCCCTGCGTGAGCAGCTGGAGCCCAGGTTAGCGGTGCCTCAAAACCCTGAGAGTAACCAAGTTACCAGCCGGGATTAGTAGCTGGTTAAGTGTCTCATAATAACAGACACACTTCTAAGGCTTTAGTAATACTCGGTGCCTCCTCGCCTGGAGCAGGGAGCACTGAGCACTTGGGGGACGGAGCACTTAGCTCCCCGGCTTCCCTGGGCTGTTTTTGTATTGCCCCCCGCCTCATGCCATGGGAAAAGCAACACGGAGTGACCTGAGAGATAATGAGGCAGTTTTCACACATTTGTGGTTACTGTAAGAAAATTTCTATTTTGCATATGAGGGAACTAAAGTTTCACTTTTATTTTTCTTTTTTAACAGTAAAATGCTCTCAGTCTTTGGACATATGATCTTGACCTCTTCCTGTCCCCTTCCAGGGACCGTGGAAGACTGGTTATTTTACATGAAACGTGTTTTGAGACCTGTGATTTCATCTTTTAGCATCCCTGAGCACAGAAGGGATGGAGACACTGGACCTGCCTGCTGTGCTCCCCCAAGAAAATTGATTTCCTCAGTAAATGTATTTGATTTACTCCTGTAAACACTAAAACAAAAGAAAAAAATTATGGGGTGCAGCTAGCGATGCAGACCCTGTCCTGCACCTTCCCATTGGCATCCCTGACCCGCGCTCCTCTTTAAGGACGGGACACAGGGAAACGGAGGTGGAAAATCAGCGCTGAGCAGAACTGGCGAGCGCCGGCCCTGCCCCGGGAGCATCGTCACGGCTGGTGATGAATTGCAGCGCCCTAACAAGAACACATCACTTTCAGAGCTGCAACCAATATACAAGTCCATTGGCATCAGCTGTTATTAATGATGCCAATACATATTTTCTTATTAATCTTCCATACTAGGCTTGTGTCTATCTGCAAATGATTATCATTCATTTTCCTGACAAATCTATCATGATCATTTATTACTGTTCGGCAAAGGATCTTCTTTTAAACAAAGATTAATAACTTTGCATCTTATCTGTCTGGCTGAGCCAAAGGAAATGAAATTAACAGTGAACCCTACAAACATGTCATCACTTTAATTTACTGGAAAATATTTTAAAATGTTATTTAAAAAACATAAACGCTCTGGTGGGCACGGTTTATTACAAAAGGAAGAACCGAGACTCCATGCGCGTTAGCACGGTGCAGAGCGAGTTGGCCAGCGAGGCCGCATCCTTCCTCTGGCTCTTTGCACACATTTCCTGGGCAAAACTGGGCTGCTTTCACAGCCTGCTCACCCGCACAGACCACACAGGCAGTCACCAGCTGGAGTCACCATTTCCTGGTTAAAGAAATCGTGGGTTGCTTTCCACCCGAGGCCTCCCTTCCTTTTCCCTTCCCCTTCCACTTCTCCTTCCCCTTCCCCTTCCCCTTCCCTTCCCTTCCCTTCCCAAAAAACAATAATAAATAATAAATAGAAAACAATCCATCAGACCCTTCCTCCTACTTATACTGCAAATAATAATGCAAAATATGTATGTATGTATGTGTATATATATATATATATAAACTTTGTTATTGCTTTCACACACACAGATTGATCGCGGCCCCGTTTGGCTCAGCTCTAAACCCCAGAGCTGCTCCCCGTCTGCCTGCACTGCCTGGGACGCTGCGGGAGCCTCCCGTCCCCTCCACCTTCCTCTTTTGGGAAGTTTTTCTCCCTCACTGCAGGTCTCACTTATCCATTTTTTCAGGGTACCGTGCTTCCAACACCAGCATGATGTACTTTGTAAATGCATGTATCAGAAATCTCATTGCACCCTCGGAACAGCTCTAAACCCCAGTCATGGCAAAGATTTTTTTTTTTTTTTTTTTCCTCTTAATCATCCCCCCCAGGGCTCTGAGTTAAAAAAAAAAAAAAAAAATCAAAGTTTTTATCACTGCTCAGCTTTCTCTTTCTCCTTTTCCTTGGTGGACTGTGTGTTTGTGGGGGAGGATGTGTAAAACAATTTTGAATTATGTATTCAAGGCATTTCTCCTACAGATAAAAAAAAAAAAAAAAAG